GTAAATACCTAGGAGTGAAATTGCTGGATCATTTCTTTTTTTTTTTTAATAATTGGCTTGAGGTTTCATAATTTTTTTTAAAAGATTTATTTATTTATTTATACAAGCACTGGGTACAGTCAGAAGCGCAGGAGGGTGAGAGAATTCACCAAAGTCAGAGCGGAGAGCAGAGCAGGCAGACTAACGAAGTACAGTGCTGAGGGGAGCAGCAGGCAGCAGGAGAGGTCTATGCGCCATGTGGGACCCTCACCCGGTAGCCGGGGATCGAACCGGCACTGCAGAGGCTGCAGGCAGCTTTGCAACCCATTGCTCAACCGCTGCGCCACCGAGGAGGCCCTGCTGGATCATTCTTTTAATATATTTTTTAATTCCTTCAATCCACCTAAATGTAACCAAGCTCCCTTTTCTGCCACAATCCCCTGTCCTTATGGATGGCCTCCTCAAGGACACCCACCACCTCCCAACAGGCCAATAGATTTCTATGCTGTCCTTCTTAGCTCACTTGGACTCTGCCTTCCCATCACAAGCCACTCTCCCCAGGGATGCTCTCCTCACCAGGTTTGGACTCCAGAGCTCTAGTGGCCACCATTTTGAATACTGACTCTTGTCCTCCAAGGACTGACTGGCTCATTCACTCTCTCCCCTAAGAGTCTTGCATCCCTGCCAGCATCCCAACACACGAGGCCACCTGAGCTGGCATGGAAGCCATCACTGCTCTTGCCTCACCTGCGAAGTCTCCTTTTGTCTCTGAAATCCAGCTCATGAAGGCCCCTAGTACTCATCACTCTAAACTAGCTCTATTGTAAAGCTGTAATTTCCTTGGGTTTTTCTAGCTATCACCATGGAAACAAAGGTCTTTGGGGGCCTTCTGCAACCTAGCCAGAAGTCGGAGTCCTGCCAACATTGCTTGAACACTTACTTTATGTTAAATGCTTTTGGGAATGAGCTCAGTTAATCCCATAACACACTGTTGTTCCCATTTTACCTGTGAGTCAACAGAGTCAGACATTTCTTAACCTTCCCATCATGACCCATCAGCCTATAAACACTGGAGTGGCGGATCAAGCCATGAAAGGACGACATTTTTATTTGCCTCTGTGCCCCAGTTTAAACCAGCTCTCCCACTCAAGAAAGGGGTGGTTTGGGAGTGTTGCCTCCAGTCATTAAGAAGCCCATTGGAGAGCCCAGAGGGCCAGATTTCAGGCCCAGTTGTTTATCTGTCTATTATTTGTTTCCCCCAGAGTATAAACCTCCAGATCAAGGGTTGACCAACATTTTCAGAAAAGGGCCAGACAACAAATGTTTTTGGAACATGAAGGTCATACAGTCTCTGTTACAACTACTGAAGGCTGCCCCTGTGGCACGGGGGCAGTGAGTGGGTGGGGCTGGGTTCACTACACTAGTCACAAAATAGCTATTTAGAGATCAGTTGTCCAGCAGGCAGGGACTGGGTCTATTTTGTTTAATGCTCTCTCCCCAATGTCAAGAACTGTGCAGCACATAGAAGGTGCTCCATCAATGTTGGTAATATGAATCAGGGTCAATGTCCATGAGAGTCACTTCAGCTTCACATTCTGCAAATCCAAAGTCACCTAAGGACTTTGCAGGACTATGAAATGTTCAGCACATAAGCTGACTTTAAAGGGAGGTAGGTAACAGAAAGAACTGCTGGCAAAGGAGGAAAAAACAAATCCATCATAGAGAATGTGACAGACTTGGATAATTTGGGCTGATGAGAAAGTACATATCCTTGGCTCCTTTCAAAACATCACGATGGGGAGAACTACCATTTGAAATAGTACTAAACAGAGCTAAAGACACTTAAAACAGTGCTACAATGGAGTCAAAGACAGTGCCAGGATGGGGGGTAGGTCACAGTTAGTGGGTTATCACCCAGGCACACAATCGCTCAGGGTCCAAAAACAGGGTTAATTGAACAAACAGGAGATTAGGGGGGAAGGAAAGTTTCTACGGTCACAAGTGGCTGGCTGCCTCACCCCAGAGAGTGTCCACAGTGTCCAGGAATCCCAAACAAAGACCACTCCTGAAAGACGAGGTGATGCCAACGCAGCCCATAGCAGCAGTCTGAAGCCTGGGCCTGACACTGGACTAGACCGCAGCAGATTCAACAGCAGCAGGAGCTGGAGCCGGAGAAGCAGAAGCTGTGGTCAGCTCTGGGTGGAGCTGACACCGGGTGGAGCCCAGCAGTGCTACTTGCTGCTGATGCCAGAGGCAGGTGCCACAGCTGAGTCTGCCAAGTCCACGAAGGCCTGGAGTCTACTGAATCCCTCTGAGGTCGTCTACTGATGCTTCTCTCTCTTCAGAGGCTGGGAGCAGAATCTTTTTTCTTTGAAGCTTGTCCAATGAATGCTTCCTCTTTGAAGGCCAACAGCAGATTCCTTCTTCTTTCTTTTGAGGCTGGCTGCTGGCTCCCCTTCTTCTTCGAAGATGGTCTGATGAATGCTTCCTCTTCCAGGGCCAAGAGCAGGATGATTCAAACTGACTCTTGTTCTGTCTTAAATGCTCTCCAGGGTCCCCGACTACACACCTGATTGGGCTGTTTTCAATCCTAAGTGCCTAATTGGACTGTTTAGCACTAGTCAGCTCATTTTCCAATTTCAATTTGAATAATTAATAAAGTGAGTTTGAACCTGATTGGTCCTTTTAGAATCCTAGAGCCAGATATAAAAAGGGAAAAAAACAGCCCTGCCTCACTCAGGTCAGGGCAGGCTCTGGGGCCTGTTGGCTTCAGGGATCCAAGGCTGGAGTTGGCCCCACTGGGTCTGGAGCAAGGGGAATGCCTGCAGGTGTTGGGCTAAGGCCACATGCCTCAACCCCAACAAAACTGCCTTGCCCTGGGGCCTCTGGGCACTGCACAAATCCAGTAACAACTTTATCCTGGGAAATCCTCCATCAAAGGTTAACAGCAACATTCGAGCTGTGACTTGCAGAACAGCAAATGGACTCTGATTGCAAATCAGAGAATTTTTATCTGGTCTTTGGACTTAGAGAAAAACACCTTTATCCTCTGCAAGTGGTCACAGGAAACCATGTACGGAAATTTTAGTAACTTTAAACCTAGGTCCCTTCTTCCATTCTCAACCAGAAACATAAAAAAAAAGGAAAGGTTTGCTAGTTTTCACACTCAATTCTCAGTTTGAGAATAATTTAAATATCACAATGTGTTGTCCTTATTATACTTACACATTACGCATAATTTACCACTTTTTTCATTTTAAATCACCTGTATCAGATTTGCCCAGTTTTATAATTCGTTTGGAAGGAGACTTCTGGTTTAAATAGTTCTATATGAATCTATGTTTGTAAACATAGATTTGTAAACATTTCTTTTCTATGAATGATAATTAAAGAATTATCTTAGGGGGAAAAACACACAGATAAAGATAAAAACAGGAGAAGGGGATATGGCATGTATTTATTTTCGCCACCTAAGTTTTTAGAAATATTTCTTGGGGCTTTTCTCACATTTTTAATAGATACAATATAGATAACAAGATGGGGCTAGGGGAAGGGAAGGCATGCAGAAGCAGAAAGAGGGTATAGACGGTAGCAGAGAGAGTGTAGACAGGTACAGAGCACAGGCAGGGGGCAGAAAAAAACGCAGACGGGCAAAATGTAGACGGGTCAGAGTATGAACAGATCAGAGAGAGAGACGGTTATTTCTTCCAAAGCCAGACAGAACCCCCTTCTGTTTAGAAGGTTGAGATCGCAAATCTTGGAAGGTTCTGGCGTCCCCCACTTTAGATCCCAGCCCTGCTGTTTCAATTTCTGCTCCCCATTTTCAGTCCCCATTCTGAACCGGGGATGTCACCCTCCCTTCTGTCGCAGGCCCTCCCCTGCTCCCCTCCAGGGCCCATCCCTGCATCGTGGGAGTGGAGGAAGTAAGTCCTTTAGGTGAATTTTGCCCTGACAGTGACAATGCCTACATGATCTTCCCCAGCCTGAATGACGTTTCCCTTTCCTATCAAAAGAGTCTTGGGTCCACCATTGATTCACTAAACATTTGCGAGCGCCCCGGTGAACGAGGACCCTGCGGGGCACAGCCAGGCGCGGCCCCGCCGTCTGTCGGTCGGGGTGGAGGCCGAAGCCTCGCGTCAACACTGAGCCATCAGAGATCCGACTGGGGCCTGAGTCCCTGCGTGCCCCCCACCCCCAGCCACCTCGCCCGGAACACAGGGATCCGCCAAAGAAGAGGGGACCCGCCACCCCGCCCTCAGCCTTAGGGCTTCCTGGCCCGGCTCTTCAGCCCGTCTCGCCTGACCACGCCTCATCGTGGGCCTAGGCCACGCCCACTCCCAGCCCCGCCCCCATTTCATTCACTGCGGGCCTCTAGCCCCGCCTCCCCACAGGCCGACCGCACCACCCCATTGATCAGAGTAGCATTTCCCCGCCCTCCCTCGCTGTCATTGGCTACCTAGGTGTCAATCTTCTTTAGAGTACCAACAGTTGCCATGGCCGGGGCTTGCGGGCAGATAATAATGGACGTCTCAGGGCGTCTCGTAATTGGGCGGAAAGCCCGACTCTGGGCGGGGCTTAGTGCCACAAGCCTGGCTGGCTCTGTCTGGGGCTCCTCTCGGCCGCCACCTTCCCTCATAGACACACCCCTCTTTCCTCGCTATTGGCCCCACCAGGTGCTGATCAACAGGACTTCACACTCCAATAGGTGAACCTGCCCGTCCTTCACTGCGTCCCCAGTTTCAATTTGCTTCTCTCCTCCGAGGAGGCAACCTTCTGGCCGTAGCTAGGGCGGCCCTCTCGGAGTGGCCACAGATTGGCCAGACGCCCCGTCACTCCTGAATAATGGGCGGGGCCAGGGGACCTGGGGGCGGTGAATTGGCTGGCCGGGCCTCGGGGGCGGGGCAGCGGCTCCTGTCAGCGGGTGAAATGGCAGCGGCGGAGCCGGCGGCGGCCGCGGTCCCGGGGAAGGCTGAGGGGGCCGGGCCGGGGCTGCGGGGCGAGCGGCGCGGCGAGGATCCGGCGGCGCGGCCCGGGACAGCCAGGCTCGGCGCGGCAAGGCTCGGCACGGCGATGGCGGCGCTCTCCGCGCAGGTAGGGAGGCGGCGCGGGCCGGGCCTCCCGGGCGCCTTCTCAGGCCGGCTGCTCCGCGCTGCGGCCCTCTGGGGTCGCGGCAGAACCCGGACTCGGGCCGCGTCGCCCCGAAACCCACGCTGGGAGCCCTCGGCACTCCCAGCGCAGTCCCTGACCGTCACAGCCTCAGGCCCAGACCCCCCGCCGGCCCCCGTTGAGGATGCCTCCCGACCCCTCCGGGCCTTTCCCCGGCTCCCCTCTCCCCACGCAGCCCCTTGGGGGGGCCCTCAGGCCCCCTGCCTGCCCTTTTCACTGATCCTCAGGACCCCTTCCAGACCCCCACCCCGCAGATCTGATCCCCACTAGCGCCCTCCACAGGCCAAGGACCCCCCCCCATCCTATGTCTAGATCCAGGACCCCTCCCATCGGCAGACCCCTTTTCATCCTCTCCCTCCCCTCCTTAGGATCCTATCTCTAGGCCCAAACCTGTCCCCACACCCCCAAGATGCCAGCCTCAGAGCCCTACCCTTCCCTTCAGACCCCTCCCATAGCTTCTGTAAATCAGATTCTTACCCACACGCCTCACCTCAGTCTGATGGCCCATCTCCCACCCTCACCCCTACCCCACCCCCACTTCCTGCTGCCCAGTTCCCAAGGACACAAAAATCCCTTCTCAGTGTCACCCCAGCACACTCCATTAGGGCTGACACACACCCCTGACCGGTCTTGATCCCCGCTTCCTGGAAATCTTCCTCACCTCATTCTCAGTACCACACCCCCCAAAAGATATCCTGAGCCCCTTCCACCCTGCACGCACACACATCTTTGTGAGAGCCATGCACACACATCTGGGAGCCAACGGTTCTCACACAGATACACACAGACCCACAATTCATACCGACAGTCTGGTCCTGACACAGGAGCCCCTGACGTGCATGGGCTCATGCAGACACAAGTCAGACACTTGGCTCCCCAACAGAGAACTAGGCAACCCCTGCCCGCTCCCCCACACAGACACATACACACCCCTTCTTACGCAGTTAACTTCAACACTTCCACATGCTTCCTAGGATTCCATTAGCCCATGACAGGCAGATGGTAAACTGCCTGTCCTGCCCGGACAGCCCCTGCCCAGGCACACCAGCCTTCCCGAGCCAACGCCCCCCTTGGAGCCTGAAGAGTGCAAGATGACCCAGAATCTCCCAGCACCTCTGCAAACACCTGTCCCAGGCTGTTCTGCTCTATCTATTGCTTTCTTCTTTGCCCTTCTTCAGAGGGAAGGACATTCATATGCTTTCCTATACCAAGGTGTCCCAAAAGGCACACTCCCTAACCTATGGTTTATGCCACCCCCTGGTGGGGAGGGAGGGGCTCACACTGCTCCTGGGCCCAGTCCTAAAGTCTGACCTGCCTGGTCAGCAGTCCCAGCGATGTAGGCCCAGCACTTGACCCCATCAAGCCCACTGACTTCAGATGGCAGGGCCAGCACTGCTGCCAGGGCAGCCTCTGACAGCCCACGTGAGTTCTTTTACCCACAACCAGAGATGCCTTCTCTCCTGGCATTTGGGACCCAGTGGAGCTGGGCTTGGGCCTGCCAGAAGCAGACAGCTCTTTGTTAAGGAATATTTTCAGAAGGGAAAAATGTGCTGAAGAAGCTCTGGTAGAATGTGAGTGAACAGTCAGCGTGGTTTGTTCCTTCAACCAGGCTGTGATCTAACTGGGGACCCAAGTCCAAGCATCTTTGGGGGTTGTATCGGCTCTTCCTTAACTGCTACCCCATAGCCCTGGCCCTCAGGTCCAAAGTGTGGGTTATCCCGGCTTCTGTGGTTGACTGCAAGTGGTTTGAAAGGAACTGCAGTTGACTTGGCCCTGGCACAGGAATGAGACAGGGTAGAAGAGAGCAGATCACAGCACTGGCAAGATGGTGCAGCCAGGACTGCAGGGAGCAAGAGGGAGCCCCAGACTCCACCCATGTGCCCTCCAGCTCAGCCTGGCCCTTCTTGTCTGTGATCCTTCAGACAACGTAAGCGTGCCTGGAAAACCCCAGAGAGACAAACCCCGGCTTCTTTGTGCATATTGACTTGTAGATTCTGGACAGCCCGGGAAAAAAAGCACATCTTGGCTCAGGGCCTCAACTTCTCCAACTGGAAAATGGGAGATAAATCCTTAGATTAGTACTTGGTGTTAGAGCCCCAGGTGGATGGGGTCAGTGGGGCAGTCCCACCTCCTTCCTGGTTGTAGTTAGTTAGTTGATGCCTCGCTGGGTGATGACCTGCCCTCAGTGGCCTAGTTGTCTCTGAAGAAGCTGACCTGAATCGGGCCTGAAAGATGGTCTGTGGTGGGATTTGTGGTTATCCAGGGGCCTCCTGAGAGAACAGAGGGCAGTCAGGGCCTGCTTGCTGGCCCTGCATCGACCTCTGATGCTGGGTGAGAAGAGGCTTGTTCTGCCCACTTGCTGAAAAAGAAGTGAGTGAAAAACTCCTGAAGGTCACAAGGCACACCAGAAACAAACCCCACAGTCACCTCGTGGTGAGACTTGGTGCAAATGCTGCGAGGTCAGATGCTCCCTGGGATAGATAGACCGTGAAAACACAAGAAGTTTCCCGGTGAGGTCTCGTGAACAACAGCAGTGCACTTTTACCCTAGTCTGGGGGTGCGGGTCTGTGTCTTCGTGTGTGTGCGCCGTGGTGGGTGGGCGAGCAGGAGGAATATGATCTCAGTTTCCTCGTGCAGAATACAGATGCTGTTTGTTCCCGGCGAAGCCCCACCACGTACCAGGGATGGAGTCAGGTGCTAGGGTACGAAGGAATGTCAGATGTGCTCCCTGCCCTGCATCTAAAGAGCCTCTCGACATCATGAGACCAGAGCTGGAACCTGCAGTGCATGCTGATCAGGCCCTCGCCACGTGCAGGCCCTGCGCCAACACCACGTACTGATTATCTCACTTAATTCTCCAGCCAACCTGGAGGAACCGGCCTTCCAGGGCCACGCCCCAAACATCTTGTCCTGCTGTTGCTGTGTGGAGGCGTGAGACAGAATTGTGTTCTGTGTGGTATGGGAGCCTAGAAAGGGGCCTGGAGCATCCTGGGGCGACAGGAAGGCAGAGCGGGAAGAATTAGGGCCTGGTCCAGGAGGAAGAGAGGCGCTCATGGGCAGGCATGGTGAAGAAGGGCGCACCAGGTGGCTCAAGTACTTGGACAGTGGCCCGGAGGCAGAAGCAAGCTGGGTACCTTCAGCGAGCGTGCCACGTTTGATGGGTTTTGTCCTCGAGGCCTTCTGTCCCACGGGGGATCCACAAGGCATATGCCCTGCAAAAGGATTCATAATTGGACTTGAACTTGGAAAGGCTGCACCCCCACCCTGCCCGGGGAAGTCCGTAGCATGAGTGCTCTAGAAGCCAAATGGAGGCAGCAGAAAGAGGGAGGCTGGTCCGAACTAACTCGCCAGCACCAGGGAAGAGACTGATGTCCCTTCCAGGAGATGACACGCCTGCCCGTGGGTCAGTGTGCGTGACCAGTCTCCAAGGTGGCTTCTAGGAGGCCTGTCCCTCACACCAGCCTCTGAGTCCCGCAGGGCAGGTAATGCGGTGGTATGTTGCCCTCAAGTGCAGGAGAGTATAGGGCCACATAGCAGTTGCTCAGCAAATACTTGGTTGGTTTTAGGAGCTGACTGCTCACCCGACTCTGAAAGAGGGCATGGAATATGCCACAGAAAGAGGTCGAAGGCAGGGCAACCCCCCTCATGCCTTCTCCCGGTTCTGCAGCTGACACTGACAGTAGAAAAAAATAGCACGTTGGCCTTGAGGAGCCAAGCACCTTTGCAGGATGCCACATCGCGAATTCACCTGTCCCTGGAAAGCCTTGTGAGGGCTTGAATTTTTGTCCCTGTTCATCCTAGTTGGGGGATGTGGGTCTTCCTTTCCTCGGGGAAACTAAATATAGAGAAATGAGGGATTTGCCAGGAATGGACCCTGTTACACTGGCAGAAAGTAAGCCGGTGACAGTACAGGCTCGTAACCATGTTTTGGGTCAGAAGGTCCACTTCTCAGATTTTAGCCTGAGGGATTTGTTGCAGCTGCTATTATTACTGATAAGGATGGTTATAGTTTTACTATGTTTAATTTTTAAACAGGGCCACCAAATAAATGGTGGGCCTGCTGAGGAGGGGGGATTTATTTATTCATCCACAAGATTGTGTATGAATTTATTCATCCACAAGATTGTGGGGATCCAGTAGCAAGCTTGACAGCCCTCGCCCCAGTGCTCTTGGAACTTTCCATCCTACAGGAAGTAAATATTATGGGTCCACTCCTGTCCTAAGCACTTGAAAAGTTTAGCTCATGTATTGCTCCCAACAAACCTGTGAGAGACGTACATCATTATCCCTCCTTCCAGCTGAGGAAAGTGAGGTGCTGTGCATTGTACCCATGATCACAGAGATGGAAAGTGGTAGAGGAGGGATTTGAACCCAGACTGCCGGCTCTGAAACCCTCATGGAAAGCTAAGAGATTGGGGACTTGTTACCAACACATACAGGATGGAAGAAGCTATATGGAAACTTCTAGAGTTGCATGGAGAAGGAGATGGAAACGAGGGCCAAAGGAGAGTCGGTAGTGACCCCCAAATCCAAGGGGCAGCCCGCCAGTTGGTTACCCAGCCCTCACCAGGGAAAGGATCCCAGGTGTCAGGCCTTTCCTCAGGATTTGTAGCCAGCCAGGATGTGGGGGGCCCTGGCTCACACCAACAGTCTATCAGGCTGGGCAGGGCTCACTGGGCCTCTGTGAAGGCTTCATGTTCAGCAGCAATTCTGTGTCCACCGTCATCACTGGAGGTGAGGATGAGAAGCCAGGGCTGGGGAAACGTGGGGGACCAAAGCTGAACAGAAATTGGCATCTTCACTGCTTCCCCTGGAAATGCCACTTTGGAGGATAACTCACTCCCTCCCTCCCTTGAAAAAGAATGCCTGCGTCTGCCGAGCACCTATGGCACGTGGTGTTTTACTCACTATGTTATTTCTAAAGT